GCAAAGTGGAAGTAGTCGGGCTCCGTTGTCCATCCGGTTGGCTGGGATTGCATGTGGGTCTTCTGGACATCCTCCTGGCTCTCTCAAGGATCTCATTTAATCACTGGTTACCGGAGACTACCACGATGTCCGTTGACCTAACCCTGCAACAGCGATCAGTTAAGTTCACCATACTGTATTTCGCTGTACGATGATGGTGATGATGATGATGATGATGATTGAGAAAGATTCTTCTTTCGTTTCAGATGCACTGCAATCGGTCAGTGCGCACAAGGATGCGACTAATCAGCATCGATGCTTCGTTCTGTAACTTTTGACTCGTCCTGAAAAGTCGAGATGTACAAAGCACAATCGACTACCGATTGGAATCCATTCGAAAGCGAGTGTTCAGCCTCAGTACTTAGCGCAATCCCGATACCAGCAACGCCACAAGCGTCAGACANTTACAACCACTAATCAGGCGATGGTTTTGGTTGCTTTCTTTTGGCAGTGAGGTATTAGGATGAGAACGTAGGGTACTGTATGCTTAGTGATAGGCAACACTAACGAAGGGGTTTTTCTTTGGGAACCTCAACCGAATTCTTCGACTCAAAAGTATGACCCACAAGGCAGCTTAAACCGCGGGAGCGTGACCGAAGCACCCGAACTGGAGCCTGTAGAGGTCTGTCACGCAATACCTTTGAGTTTCGATTCAGTGTATATTTCCGAAAGCCTCAGTATGGTCTGGAGTGGGTGTCTCGGGTTGTGGCTGATATCCCCTCCCTTGCACCTCGTGAAATACTCCCGTACGACAAAGCGTCTCAAATAGTTTCTACTGAGGAAGCCCTACTCACTGCCTTCTCCTGTCGGAGGTGTTTTCCCACCAAGTAAGAGGACGAAAAGTCAATATCCGGTGCTACAGCCGGGTCGGTAAACCCATAATAGTTCACCTCGGGGAGTTGGTTAAAATCATTGATTCTAAACTGTCCAAGAAGAGGTGCATGAACCACCCAGGTCAACTCTGCTCTATGGTTGCGAGACTCCAAATTTGCGCATGTGAGATATTCGTCGTCTAGCAGTCTTCAACTACAGATATTTACGTAGTTTGGCGCCGGTTGAACGGAGCGAGCTTGTAAGCAACTCTGAGATAAGATATTTGGTAATGATTCGATGGAGAATTCGCTGTCCCATCAAATTCAGATTATTTGGCTTCGCTGGTTAGGGTACGTATTGCGCATGCCCAGCAATCGTCTCCCGCACCGCGCCCCATTCGCAGTTGCGGCTCCAGGTTAGAAGAAACCGTGTGGAGGTCAACGAATGACGTGGAAGCGAGGTATAAAGAAATGCACAGAGCGATTAGATAGAATCGGCGTCTCCCGTCTTCCAGGTTGGGGTCAGAAAGATTTTCCTGTTTGTTGCATTGGCCACGGGCTTGATTGGATCTGGAGGTGTATTGGGCACCTTGAACATTTGATCTTGTTTAAAGGGCGTACGATCTGATGAACCGGCCCCCATTGGATCGCATTTTTCGCATACCGATCCGTTGTCTTGCAGGGCAGTCTTTGACTAGCCGAAGGCTCCAGTTGTAAATTCCCCAATAAAATTCACCTGCTTTGGCCTGGACAACCTAGCAGTATCATGCCCTTGAGCAAATCATGAACTTTTTCTATTTTTTATAAAGATTAATAATATGATTTGTTTGACACTGTTTGAATTCGGACGTGTGTGCAATACACTAACACGCAGTTGCATCATTACCAATCAGTTGGAGTTGAATGATTCAATCTTCTATCTTTTTAGCTTTTCAACTAACCTCAAGGTTCTCTGAAAGGGTACAAAAATGAACTTTCTATTGATCAGGCATATTTTATTGGGGTTAAATATTATGTACTTGGTAAGTCCTTTTCTAGAGGCAACTGAATCGCACCTAAGGGTGTGTCATTTATCCTCATTGGATTGGCTGCTTACGTTCGGCTGAGTGCCTATGTAACCAGTATTGGAATCGTTGGTGGAATCATCGCCTGTGGTGTGTTTCTAGCTGTACTGGCTATCGTCGGACTCATTGGGACTGTGCGTCACAGTCAGGCAGTCCTGTTCTTCGTATCCTTTTCTGTTTCATATTTTACTCAGGGTTCTTCAGCATATTGTGGGTTCTGTTACATTTCCTAACAATGTTCTTTAGACTCGTTTTCTAAATGCCTAAGAAATAATGAAATCAACGAGGCAGTACCCAGTTTTGTTCTCTTTTGGTTCAGAACCATATACTTCCCGGCATGGTATTTTTTCTTTCATCAAATTGATTACACTAGGTATTGTTACCACTGTTCCCAAGTACCTTTCGAGTGCTGTCGAATGAGATTCATTTCCTCTACGATGAACTATGCTCGGAGGAAGGATCTGTTGTTTAGTTCGTCATCACCCACTGACGCAAGTGTTTGAGTCTTGCAGAATATGATTATTTAACGATATGCCTCGCATCTCACCCCAAACACTTGCTCGGCGTATGATATTTGCCGAAACAGACGGCGGTTTGAACAAAGATTACAGGTTGCTAAACTATGATTCTGCATTAAGCAATGAAAATGTTGATCAGTAGACTTGGTCGTGTATGCCATTTATGTTAGATTTTCCTCGGGATCAGTTTAATTGATTTTCGGTGAAATGAGTTAAATATGTTTAGTGATGTAAATCGTCCGTAGTGCTTTTGATCGCTTGCCACTCATCTAGTTTTCCACGTTCCAGTTTGTATCTAAATGACACAGTATTTTGTTCACCAAAAAATGGAACTAGGACCGGAGTGCGGAAGTGCAGGTTTTCTTGGGTGTGAAAACCGAAATTGAATCCAGGAGTTGGTTTGTAGGTGTAAAACACAATCTAGTGACAGCAGCGCTCACTCTATTCCAAACCTCTACAATATGCTTTAATGTTAATACAGATTACTAGAGCGCTACAAGCCGAGTTTTCTTCATAGCTCCGAATATCTCTTAGTTATCTGATTCTTATCACGTTTCTACTTACTTTCCAGAGATCTCTTTTGATCCCATTTAACTCTGTTCTACGGTTGTTTCAGTTTCAGTTTGAACAACCGTTAACCATGCACTTTCTTGCGCCGGTTTTGGTTGCTATTTTTTGGCTGCCCATTTGAATGAATGATAGGAGAAGAGCAATAAAGTTTAAGGTAGAGTCTAAGTTTGCAAAGAAACTAAGCAGATGCAAGAACGCCACTGTTTACGACACCCAGCCATATCACTCAGTGTCTCTAATCATCGGTTACGGTCATCCCGAGGTCCCCAGCCAGGGAGCCTAACAGGACCTATGTGACCCAGTCTCCTGGTTAGGGTTTTCATACCCTCGTGCCAGGTCTTAGCTTGACCACCTTTGGCTTTTCTCCACTCGGTCTCTGCTTCGGCGAACATTGCTCNCACATGCCCCAACCAACGTAATCTATTGAGGTCGACCACTTGCTCCAGTGTTCGACTGCGGATACCCAAAACTCTGCGCCTAACCTCAGCATTGCTCATCCGGCTAATCCACCAGATTCATGCAATGCCTGGTAGACAGCGGTGTTCAAACACCGCTGGCTAAGTTTCTGCACCGTATAGCAGGACTGGTCGAACTGTCGCGGCATGCACTCCACCCTTCACAGACAGCGGGATGTCGCGACGGTGCCACAAATGTCTCAAGTTGGCA